ACAGCGGTATTAGTTCACAGATGAAGTGATTAGTTCATACAGTTATAAGTCCGCTACAGTGAAACTTTATTTTCGAAAACAAGAACGCAACTTCAATTTTACAAAAACATAGCCCTTTCTTGGGGCATGCGCATGTATTACCGTATCCGTATCGCGTAAACAACCTAGTCATGCTTTGCAGTCCTCTATCACGGAAGTAGACAAAAACGTTGTTTAAACTAAAAACGAAGACAGATTGAGCCGTCTGTTTTTCGGATGCAAGACACCTCTACTAGTCACTCAACTTCCCTTCATGTGGAAACTTAGTGGAGTCTGACCGATTGTTATACTGCCTCCATTGTTTTCACTTCATTTCGTTAACCAACCTTTGACTATCTTTAAAATATCATCGCTAATCGAGCACACTGTCGAGAACTGTTTCGACTAGTGTTAGTTCGTTTTGAACTTTATACTTGCGTCTACAGTCAAGCCAATCTACTTCTCTCTACATAAAAATGTTTCGTCAATCGACAATGCATGTTATGTCCAGCAGGTCTAAGTCAGATTTCAGATGAATTTACCTAGCTTATGTGGTTTTTAAGTTAAACAAAGGGTTTTTTAATTTAAATGAACGTTGGCCAGTGCTTGTCCTCCACTAACTCATTTTACCAGTGGCTGTGCAATTTCGGCACTTATTCCAACGGGACACATTAAAATTAATCTTCAAGTATGCTTGTGCGAAATGCGCATTTTACTTGCAAAAAATAGAAAAATGTATTATTGGAAAATCTCAACGACTGGGCTTTTTTCTACTGACCGCCTACCAGCTGATCTGTCTTTTCGATTTAAACGTTCAATTTTAATCCTCATGCTAGTTTAGGTTCCCAGAACACAATAGTAACGTTACAGTGAGGATGTACAAATAACAGACAATTAACTTCATTAAAGACAAGGCTCAATTATTGTGCAATGAAAACGAAATCCGTCCCATCAAGTCAACTCTACAGTATGGCGAGTCCTGCATGTAACGTTCTTGACAACGTTAAACTTGGTAGTTAAGCATATATGTTGCCCGGTTATTTTGGTCAACTGAGTGGATTTAATAAGAAGAAGGGCTTTATTTCGGAAAATTGCCCTCTTAGTTTAATTTATCAAGCGA